TTTTATTAAAAAAAAAAAGTCTTTGTGGAACATTAGTGTGGGTCATAATCACACCGTCCGTCGTGGGTTGTGCCCACATTTTCGGTGAAAAGTCTGGTTGAAATTTGATTGTTTTACTGAAGAGAATCGAACGATATCGGCATAATAGAGACGACAATCGTTCGGTAACTCGCGCGTTCACATTTTTCTAGTCTTTCGTCTGTCTTTATGAGTTGGATAGCATCATTTTTGTCCGTTGTTGCAGTCATCAATCGCTTCTTTTATGAGCAATCGCAATTCTCCAACCAACACTATATTATTAAATATTAATAATTAAAAATTTAATTTTTATATCAAATAAATAGTTCACTTGCCTCAATAAAGCATGCGATTATCAAATCATTTAATGGAGTTCTCCGACAACACTTCTATTTCCATTGGCCCCCGTTACTTCTTAGTTTGGAGGTGATCATTTTCATTTCCCATACAAGTTTCGATAGCCCAATAAAAAGGCATGTGTTGACAGGAGAGTGCAGGAGGCGCGTGCCTTGTGCACTGCTTTTCTTTAATTTCCTTTGGTGAAAGGTCAATTGCTTCTTTCTGCACGGCATAAAATGCTTTCCAACGACATCAATGCATATCAAAAAAATTCGTATTTTATATATTTTTTAAAAATTAATGATTTATTAATCTAAATAAAAAATTATTTTTTAAAATAAAATTTAAAATAATTTAATTTTAAATTAAATTGTTTGATGACCTTACATAACGTTTTTTTAATAAAGGTCATTTTATACGAGCATTAATATAACATTTGTGTCTGAGTCACCCAAAGCAAATTAAAAAACATGCCCAATAATTGTGCACCCAAAAAAAAAAAAAAAGGCAAAGAAAACATGCTCAATAATTACTAAGCATCGATAGGTTACCTTCAACACCGAAAAGACATCATTAGGCTTTTTCTTTATTATTATTATTATTATTATTATTTAAAAAGCTGATTGATGTAGAGTCCGATTTTTCTCCCTTTTTTTTGTTTTTTTTTTAACAAAAGCAATTTGTGAGTAAGAGCAATGCTAGGGGCACTCGCTTTTCGCACTCTCCGGCGAACACTTCCCCTTTCATTGGGTCACGTAAGTTTCTTTAAAACTTTCGGACGCAACTTCTCGAGAACCAAGATAACGTGGCTCAATTAAAGAAAAAGTGTTGATCGAAGAGTGCGAAAAGCGAGTGCCCCTAGCATTGCTCTTGTGAGTGCACCTTTAAATTAATCTGCACAAACGTCGAGGTGCAATGTAGAGCCCTTTTAATAATGATTGTCCTCGTTTACTTTTTGTCGCTATAAAAAATACATATTAATTTTAAATTTCTTTATCTTAGTTTGTTATTTTTTATCGTACCTAACTTACATATCGTGACTATTTTTTAATTTTAACAAAAAAAAATAATTATTGAATTATTTAAATAATTCATTATATCAATTTCAATTTTTAAAACAAAAAAAGGTAAAGTTTTAGTTTCAAAATTATTACTTTTTAACAAATTTATTTAAAAATTAATGATTTAATTTAATATTTTATTAATATAAGTTATGTATATTAATTTTTACATTAATTTAATATTTATAACTATTTAATTAAAATTTTATTTTTTAAATATATATTTAATAAAACTGATTTTTTTACAATAAATGAATTAATTATATATTTAATTAATTTAAAAATTATAATATATGATTTATATTAATATAATATTAAATTTAATAATTAATTTCTAAAAATATTTATCAAAAATAATATTTTTAAAGTTAAAATTCTAATTTTTTTATTTATCAAGATTAATATGCATTATTCTCTCTATTATAAAAATTTTAACAATATTAAATTACAATTTAAAATTTTGATAACTTAAAAAAATTAATTTTGGTTAATGGTTTTAAAAATTCACATTGAACAAGTTGTTAATTTTTATCTTTATTTTCAATTATTGAATTTTGATAACAAAAAAGAAAAAAGCAACCAGGACATTATCAAACGACCTTAGTAACTTTGTTACAACGCTAAAATTTCTCTTTTACCCTATATAAAGTTAAGAAAATAACTATATTATCCTTAATAGAAGAGCAAATTAAGAACTTCAAACTTAAGCTAACATATTTTTTGGAATGTAAGAATTTCTTGGATAAGTGGGAGATTTTTTCGACTGTTTTATTTTTCTGCAATTGATTTTTTCAAGGTTAACCTTTAAGTTAGTCCCTCAATTATAGTACAAATTTTTAATTTAGTTCTTAAATTTAAAAATTTTTTAATTTAATTTATAAAATTTTAAATTTTATCTCTAAATTAATTAACCCCTCTATTAAAAATTCACTGGTATACCTCGTTACTTGCCAAGTTAAGATGACATGGAAAAATATTTTTACACGTAAGATTATCAGAAGGGAAAAAGAATGATATGGTTGACACGCAATTCCCCACACCGGCGGCGAAACTGGGTGGAACCCAATTCCTCCAACGAACGAATTTTTTAATTTAATGACTATGTCCATGGAACTTGAAACTCCACTTCTTGTCGTTTCTCCACATGGGTTTTGTTTGTTTTAACGAAGAATGGATTTTCCTGAGATATCATGGACATGCTAGGGATATCCTGCAATCTTAAATAAAGCATATTATTGGATGCATAGCCAGAAAAACAAAGTGCTATTGGATGAGAAATTTGCGTTCATTGTCTGAGCCAAACGGAGCGAGAAAAATAATGATAAATGATAAATGAAATTAAAATTAATAATGTGATATAAGTCATATAATTTAAAATATTAAAAAATAAATTTTATATTATTTAATAAATAACTTATATTTTTAAAAAATTTTATAATATTATATATATCAATTAATTTAATGAGATAACATAAATTACGTTATTAATTTCAAATTTTTATCTCAAATTCATTTGTTGTTATCATTACTCATTACTCATACTAATGATTTGTTGATTCAAATAAAAAGAGTTTGATTCTCTTTAATAAATTTCAACTTGTTCTTTAATGAAGTATGACACAACTCGATTTTAAATTAATAAAAAAATCAATGTAATTATTAAATAATGAGAAATTAATACTAAAAAATCATTACTCATTACTCATACTAACAACTTGTTGATTCAAATAAAAAGAGTTTGATTCTTCTTAATAAATTTCAACTTATTCTTTAATGAGGTATGATACAACTCGACTTTAAATTAATAAAAAATTAATATAATTATTAAATACCGAGAGATTAATACTAAAAAATCATTACTCATTACTCATGAGCAATTCTTTGCATCGAAATAGATTTAGCATTGGCAACGGCTTTCATTGTAGCCGCTATCGAGCAATTCTTTGCATCGAAATAGATTTAGCATTGGCAACGGCTTTCATTGTAGCCGCTATCATAGTCAAGGCCAAGATGTGAGAGAAACCCGAAAATCATTCGTGAATATCAAACCCAAATCTAGAGTTAGAGAGAGAGAGAATCGAGGAACCAGATATAACAACTAGAGCATGGATTGAGAGGGAAAATGGGAAAATGTGAAGAGATTTGAGGGAGTGGGGAGATTGGGTTCAGAAAGAGTACCTTAGCTGCATGAAAACAGGAACAGAGAGAAGTGGGGGTGAGTATATTTCGGATATTATCCAACTATCCGACTTTCGACTCGAATTTTTAAATTTGGTCTAGATATTTTAGGTATTTAGATAAATTATAATAAAATCAAAATAATCAAATTTAATTTTAGTTCAAATATAGTTATTGACTTATTTTTAAAATTATCGATATAAGCTATAAAACTATCCAAAATTATTCAAAAAATTTTAATATAAATTTATTTTATTTTTTAATTTTAATTTTTATGCTATATAAAATTTTTGTGAACAAAATCTTTTTTTTGTCAAATTTATATATAGGAATTTGAAGAAAAAGTCTAGAAATAATCAAAATTTTTTTTAAAAAGCCTTTTAATAAAAAAGGTTAAAATCCCTTTTGATCCCTCTACTTTGACAAATAGCTTCTTTTTAGTCCTTATACTTTAAAAAACTATTTTTTTGTCCCTAAAATTTAAAATCCAATCTCTTTTTAGTCTTTCTATTAAGTTTTGGTTAATGTTGCATGCTAATTAATAGAATTGTCCTTTTTTTTGTATAAATGAAATGGAAAATTCAAAAGTAAAAAATGATGATGTAGCATTTTATATAAACATTGAACATAATATGTAATTTATAAAAACTAAACTTTTGAAATTAATCTTAACCCTCCTTGTTCATCATTCAACCCTTCTCCTTTTCTTTCTTCACCCCTTTGGTTCTTTCTAAAACCCTAACATGGATCTTCGCTACCATCTCAAGCTTGTCTTAATTCTAGTAATTTAAACAAAAAAAAAAATGACAGCAATACAAACCTATCACCCGTGGTTTCAAACCCAAGTACAACTAGGTTTGTGATGAACCCAAATCAAACACAATCTAGGTTTAAATTGAACATGAACCTAGTGCATAGGTTTCACAATGAACCTAGCACCTAGGTTTTGCGATGAACCCAGATTTGGTTTCATCTTTCCATTATCTACAACCCATATTCAAGAAAGGTAAAAAAAAAAAAAAAATAGTTGTAGTACTTTAAGCAACTATCCCAGCATATAATCAGATCTAACAATAATGTTGTTGATGGAGATGAAGACGAGCTTGACAAAAAAACCCTATGAATCCCATCACCACGAAGCCGATTGCCTAATAAAATGCCACCTTTGTGATTTCTTTACAAGGTTGAAAATAAAAAATATTTTCAAAAATACACTTAATTATTTTTAAACATATCATGTTATTAGTCATTTAATATTGAACAATAATTTTTAACTATTGTATAACTAAACAATTATATCCCTTGAATCCACTATCTATTATTCACTGTTCACTTTTTCGCTTTTCCGCCATCCGTTATTCGTCATTTGTTATTTGTTATCTATTATTCGTTGCCACTATCCATTATCCGTTACTTACTATCTGTTATCTAGTGAGTTTTAACTAATATATCAAATAATCTCTTAATAGGTACAACCTCAACAAGACTGTTATTAATTGCTAATTTTATTTATTTATTTATTATTAATTATTATTATTATTATTATTATTTCAATCTAGACTCAAAACCTTGTCGGAGGACGTGTTTGGTGGGGCACAACTTTTTTTCCTCGAATTTTCTCTTTCAAATGATTATTTATGTATTATTATACTTTAATATCCAATAAAAGAAGAATAAAAATAATATTTTTATTTTTTATTTTTTAATATAATTTTAATTAATAAAATTTTCTTCTCACGTTTCTTTAAAAGAAATGTTACTCTCTAATTTTATATACATTTTTCTTATTAACTTTTTTTTATATTAATTTTTTATCAAACACATAAAAATTAATAATTCAATACAATTTTAACAAAATTTTATTATAAACCTTTTTAAGTTTTTCGTACAGCATTTTTCGAGATACTTTTCTAACCATTTTCTTAATAAAAATTTTCCCAACAAAATTATCCTCTAATCAAATAAGACCTTAAAGTTCTTCCCATTTTTCACAATTACATGTTACAACTTACAACTACCAGTCAACCATTCTAAGAAGCAAGGGTAAAAAAAAACAATCGAAACAAACTTTTAACCATGAAATAAACATCAACAAGACCTTAATTACCATAAATATATATATATATATATATATATCTACAGGATCTTAACTAAATGGTTAAACCTCCATTTTGGTCATTCAACTATTGTACGGACCCCTGACTTAGTCCTTCAACTCAAAAAATCCTTGATTTAGTTCTTACTGTTTATCATTTTTCCCCCAATTTAGTCCCTCTGTTAAAAATCCAATGACGTGTCATATTAATTAACTGAAACATGATGACCTGTCAAAATGGAGTAACACCTCATATGCACACCTGTAAAATAAAAGATGATGTGGCAGTATGATTTTGATCTAAAACCAAAAAAAAAAGGAGTGGACCCCACCTCTTGCAAAGCCTGAACCCTTTTCCCCCTTTTTTCCCATTCAGAACAACAGAGCTCTCTCAGTTCCTTAGCAAGAATCCACA